GTCCTCCACCTGTGGATATGGGGAGTTGTCTAGTAATTGCAATGTCCACTATATATATGTATATCGATTTTGCATAGTACTCCTGAATATGTATCAAGGATTTTCTTGGTTCTAACATTGAATAAGCCACAATATTAGTCCCGTTTCTACACGAATCAGTCTGTCGACATTGAGATACCAACAGGTCGATATATGAAAGTTTATTGTCTTCTTACATTCGGAACAATGAGGATTGAACAGCTTGAAGGGCTGAGAGAAAAGCATATAAAGAAATGTGTAAAAGAATGAGATCCTACGATCGCGATTGATGTTATACATACGTCTGTGGATATATATATCAACAATACCTTTAGGGCATGTAAGCATTCTACATATATTCCAATAATCAGATAGGCATATTAAACCTTTAAACAGCTACCAGTGCTTAAATAGGTCTATATGTTAGAAGAAGCCTAATGACAGGATGTGCGAGAGAGGCTAATGCAGCGGCTAGTCCTAAACATTGGCGGAAATGATAAAATTTAGTTATTTTTATTCATTACTTCTGCATATCGATCGTCAAAGTAATTCCTCGGGTATCGTTCGGGCAAATGTCCCTCAAATGATTTTTTTTGGTTGAGTTTTCATGAGCTGTTTGACACAATTGCGTAAGCCAATTACTAGCTTAGAAGCTGATATCTTCCTTGCGGTAGTGGTCTGACACAATGCGGTAAAGGTATGATGGGGCATGGCCGCCGCTGGAGTAGGGAAAGCAAGTTAGCATGATAAAATGAGATCGGTGGGATGGGTGCTTGCAACTTACAGGTTAGTGATGTAAAGATCGACGAGCTCTGCGGGAACGTAGTCATAGATGGGGTTTTGGACATCGACCAGGTCGACGAGATCACCTTCCTCGTATGGGAGGACCATGCTTGGGTCACCGTATTCAATGAGCGAGTCGAAGTCGAATGGGTAGACAGGGCTGAGCTTGTAAACACCGCTCACGACAACGACGGGAGTCTGGTGGACCTTGGCGGCACGGGCAATGACACGGGTGCCGGCAGCGGCGACGAGGCCGCCATTGGCGAGAACGGAGTGTGTGCCGAGGATAACCTTGTTGACTCGAGACATGAGAGCGAAGACGGCGGAGTCTGGGATGAGGATGACGGTGATGCCGTGCTCGATCAGTGGCTTCTGGAAAGCCTCCAAGCCGAGATTGTCATCGTCGTTGACAGCACTACCACTGATGGTGGCGTGTGTAGCCTCGTGGTTATTCGGGTATGACTCGGCATGGATGACGGTAAACTTTCGCTTCGCGGCGGCTTTGAGTAGGAATTTTTGGACAGTGGTCGAGGATGTGTGAGTGAGGATAATTTCGTTGGAGTGAATGTGGTCCAATGCGTAGGCAGCGATCTGATCGTCTACCTGGCCGAGCTCATCAATGATCTCGCCAATACCCTCCAGCACTTCGGCTCGTACGTCTTTGCTTGGGCCGTGGCCAGGGAGACGTCCGCTTGGAGAGGAGGAACCCGGGGTGCTGGGAAGTGAGTTCTCGGGTTCGGGATGGGAGAGAAGGCTGAACATAGAGGTCAGAGCGGGGCGAGAGGATCTTTCTTCGGACCGGAAGGAGGGTGAGTCGCGATCCAAAGGCAAGGATGGATCTATGAATCTATGAGTCACTGCGTGGATATTTGGACCAGAAGTTGGGACTCACCGTCATAAGCCCGGGGGGTTTGTGGCTGACTCTCTGAACCAATGTCGCTAAGAGCGAATTCAGCGTCGCGATCATCTTCGGCTTCGTCACGAATGAGACCTAGGACCCGGCGCACAATATTGCCCACAACCATCTCGCGCGGTTGCGCAGCCATAAGTCGCCTGCCCACACTCTGCACCCGCTCAATAAGCTTTGCTGAATCTGTTGTACGGCATGCGGAGATCACACTCCGTAGCAAATAGGCGGTTGCTGTGGCACATGATCGCGAATGGCGGATTTGACGGCGCTTGAGCAATCTGATTGAAATATACCATGTTAGCGAGTTTGATCGTTGGTGGGGGTAGCGGCCATGGCTAGAAGTCTTGAGATACGCACGAAATCAGAGTCTCAATAGAGGTATCAATCGGGTTTGTCTTGAGGCACTTGAGGAATGACCCCAGGCCTGGTGTTAGGGCCAGAGAAGACGGCATGACGAAGTGGGATATTGGGAGGAAATCTGCATAGTGTTCAGCGGGGGTTTGAGCGATAGAGGTGTGCAGTGTCGAGTAATAAACATACCAAATTTCAGGTTCAGATCACACTGAGACAGGTTGTAAATAGAGAGTTGATCAAGAGATTCTCAGATTCTCAGAAGAAAGCCCAAGAGAGTGGGAGAGACAAAGAATTGATTTTCTGCCGTTCGATCTTGTCCGCTTCCCCACACTAATTGATCCTCTATTGTCTCGGCGTTGGCTTTTCCTATTGGTTTTCTTTCAGTTTGACGCATTTCTATTATTCCATTTTCAGTTGGTTTCCGTTTTTGGATTGCTTTTCATCAGCTTTGAAACTTGTATAAATTAGATTGGAGTTGCGGAAGTACTTCCGAGGCACGGGTGACTGGCGCATTGAGGTTAGAACAGCTTACACCTCCTTGGGATCCCCCTCTTCCCTTCTGACTACCATCAAACCCCCTACACACTTATCTCATGGACCGCTTCAAGTGGGTTTGATGATTTACTCACTCCTTTGTTAACAGATCGCTGCGCCCCTGTCTCCCGTGACGCCTTGAGGGAAGATGAACTCGTTGAATATCCTGTCCTCGCGAGTCATTGGCCAATCTTCCAGCTCTTCACGCCATAGATCGCAGTCTCAAGGGGATAGAAAACGTGCACCTCTACCGTCAGACTTTTCAAAACTCCGGTCTTATAGCGAGGATAACTTTCGGTCCCTTGACCCCACCGAGAAGAGCTACGACGATGGACCGCCCGTGAACGAAGATGGAGAGGATGGCGCATATGACTTAGACGAGAAGACACCGCTACTGCATGAAGCCCATAAGAATGGCACGCTCACTGCTCGAAGTACTTGGCGACTGATTACCCAACGGTTTTTCGATGCGATCACCGAAACCATCAAATTCATCCTGTCTACGTTTGCTGCACCCGGTGTGTATTTGGCTCAATGCTTTCAGGCTGATGATGGTCGCTATTCACTTCTTGCACCTGTGCGCAAATTGCGGGGCTCCTCTGCCGACCCAACGATCCGGTCGGCTAAAGGGGCCACCCGGGTAGAGGGTCGGCGTCGCAGTGGCTCCATCCGAAAGCTCCGACCTCAAGGCTCTCGCGAATCTATTGTATCAACAACGTCAGAGTCCGACACAGATCGTCGGCATATCAAGAATCTCTCAAATACTTCAAGCGGGAGGAACCGACCTACCAAGACCAAAGGCCACGATCCAGATCCAATCCCAGAAGGGGAAGAGCATGAACATACGCCTCGTCGGTCCATACGAATCAAGCTCCATAATGAAGAATCCCTCAAGCGGCAGAGACACCGAAGATCCCAGAGTTCAGATTTAGGGCATCCAAGGCCGGAGGGTGTCTCTCGAGTCCAGGGGGCTGTCCACCTGGATAGCTTAAAGTCCCCAACCTCTCCCAACATCCACCGCATAACGAAGTACCCACACTCTCCAACTCCACCGCGCCCACTCCTCCCGTCACGAGTACCTTCATATACTGCAGCTCCCCGCAATGCCAGACCCCCGCAGAAGACCTTGGTGCTGGATCTCGATGAGACCCTAATCCACTCGCTCGCCAAGGGTGGCCGGATGTCCAGTGGTCACATGGTCGAGGTTAAGCTCTCGATACCCACGACTACTTCATTGTCCCCGGGCGGACCGCAAACGACACTGGGCCCTCAGCATCCCATTCTGTACTACGTCCATAAACGACCACACTGCGATGAGTTCCTGCGCAAGGTCAGCAAATGGTATAAGCTCGTCATTTTCACGGCCAGCGTTCAAGAGTATGCCGACCCTGTCATCGACTGGCTCGAGCAGGAACGGAAATACTTCCAAGGTCGCTTATACCGACAACATTGCACATTCCGTAATGGGGCATACATCAAGGACCTGAGTTCTGTGGAACCGGACCTGAGCAAGGTGATGATTCTGGACAACAGCCCGATGAGCTATATTTTCCACGAAGGTAATTTTACAATTTCGTTCTATCTATTTTCGTGCGTTCGAACTAATGATCATTGCCAGATAATGCGATTCCCATCGAAGGCTGGATTAATGATCCCACGGACAACGGTCTGCTCCACTTGATTCCCATGCTCGAAGCTCTACAATACGTCACGGATGTCCGGGCTTTATTAGCACTTCGCCGTGGTGAACTCGAGTCATAAGCGTTATCCGCATTTGTGTTCATGAATGCGCATGTAGATGTATACGGGATTTGTGTTTTAGAAGCGATGTCTAACCTTTCAACATGAAAATAGAAAAGAAAAAAAAAGAGATATCCACAGCAATGGAGGGGATTGGAGACCAACACGATCATGCAAGCGCGGTTATTCATAATGGCATTCAGTGTCTCGTTTTGTTACTAGGTAATGGAAATCCGTACATATGACTTGACTTCTCTTACACACATATAAGAAGATAATGACCTAAAACTCCACAGAAAGCGCCATAACCTTGCCCCCTCTGGTATTCGTGCCGTTAACAGGAAGCTTAGTCTCCCCTCCAGTAGCGATATAAAGAACATTGTGATCCCTCTGTCTCCTCCCCAAACCCGTCGACGTAGGAGTCATCAAATCCCTCGAGTCCTTCGAACCCGCAATAACCTCATGAGACCCATTAGGAAAGGCTCTAGTAACCACATTATCAGATCAACCCCATGCGGGCCAATAGCAAAGTCATCGCCCCGCGTATCGTGGCTGATAATCCCATAAGGCCTCAAAGCACCACCGATATGCGTATCAATTCGAGCGCGACTGAAAATCCACTTCGGGCTGTTGGTGTAGTACATATAATCATTTACTATCTTCAACCCGTTGACACCAAGCAACAAACCCATGTCACGATTTTTGTCTCGTCTTGGTGGATCAGGTTCACGCTGTAATTTCCAGTGCGGATATCGAGACGCCATATAAGGTCGAGCTGGGAGTCGGTTATGGCGACTGCTTTTCCTTCGTCTAGAGCAGCTATGCCGTTCAAATATCCAGCAGGCAGTTTTGCGATCAGAACTGGCTGGGGCATATTTTCGTGGGTTCTGAGATCGATCGTATAGACTGGATTAGATGCAATTATTGTATAGATATCCGGCGACAGCTCTGTGATTCCATCTGCGTCTTCCGCGCCGTTGAACTGGTGGACCAAATGGGCTGGGCTGGGGATTGAAGGGTCAATTTCCTAGAGCTCTACTGTGCTCGAATTCACGAGATTGCCATTCGGTCGGGCTGCGATGTTCTCGACCGAGGTCCCGTTGGGAATCTGTAGATTTCGCGGGGATTGGGAGAATGAGCGAGACATAGAGTGTAGATGAATATAAGTAGTTAATAAGACGGATCCTAGAAGATTAGCCATCTGTGAAGGGTTTGGCACAACGCTCTGAAACACCAAACTGCGTGGGAATCATTGGTATACAGGAGATGGCAGCGTTGCCAGGTATCTCTTTTTGATAAGACTGAAGCGAAATCGGTTGGTTTCCTCGGAAACCGGATGGTCATGGATGTACTCCGTACCTATGTGCCCGTACAGGGTGATTGGTAATACATTCTTGGCTGCATTAATATGCTCAGGTGGTCATGTACAAGGGTACTTGGTAATACGCTCTTGGCTCCAAGGCTGCCCAGGTGAATTATTATTGCGGTGAGACACAGCCCCGGTTTTCCCACATGCACTCCCGTCACTGTAGATCATAGCCTGCATCAAAATAGCACCTGGGTAGGTTTAGGCATCGAGTCAGCGTTGATATCTGATATTGTAAAGAAAGAGCGCAATGGTATTTGGGGGGCATCAAGGTGTGAGTGAGATGCCTGGAGAAATGATTATTTGGGGGGGGGGACGCAGGGTGGAAACTGTCTGATTTTATTTCTAGATCAAGTAGGTAGTGTCGAGCATTATTATAGCATGTACGAAGTACGGAGTACTGGGGATCTTCTGTACTAGATTCTTTATGCCCAGATAACTCATTAGTTTCTACCTTTATATTTCTGGATCACACCATAGGTACTCTCATTGCAGGGGGTATCGAGGGGCGTTAACTTAAAAGTCTTAGCGTGGGAGGCAGGCTTAACTCCAGAAGTTGAGACTTCTCAAGCTGATAAGCCTATTTCTTTTCTCTAGGATTGACGGCTTTAATGGAGTTAAAAACATGTGGTAGATTACTTTGATTTCGACCGTATGATAGATCGTTTATCATTTAGACAGGGATACCATGTTCTCCTTGCACCACATTTCGGATTTAAGGTCTCCATTTATGCTTTGTCCGGGTGCTTACCGAGTGGGTCCCAACCGGTAAATTTGATTGGTGGGCCAGTCTGAGTTGCCAATGGCCAAAGGTTAAATGTCCAGATGGGACCCACCACGATGGGACCTAGGACAAAGGAACTGCTTGGCCATGACGTACAATAAGCAGCCCGCATGGTGCCCAGGTGCTAAAAGGCGATAGCAGATATACTAACACCGATATTTAGAATCGGACTGCTTGGCGCCTTCCGCTGGGCCCCTTGGCACTAAACGCGCCAGTAATCGAGCCTTTAATGTCGCCGACGGAAGAGCCGGGAACGAATAATTCATCCTTGGTCTCTTCTCATTCTGGGGCACATGGCCTTGTGTGTACTCGAGTTATAATTCCAATGACCAATCGGCAAACTGTTTATCCAGAGTGCGTCCTTGGTATCTAAGCCATGGACCGCTCAGGATTTGGGTTTTCCTCTTCTGCCCTGGCCGAAGCGGCGCCGTTTCTGTAAGGTTACATCTTACTATCTACCACTAGCCACTCCTATGGTATATTTTATTCTATCTTGGATACACCGATAGGAAACTGTTCCAAACCTGGTCACATCTGTTGAGAGCTGCAGGTCTTCTTCGTGTGCTCTAGTTGATCTTTCGCTACTGTGCATAATCTATACGAGAGTGTACAACGACGATGTCAACCCGCAGGCCGTCCGCATATAACCGTCGTGCCAGAGACGAAAAGTTGCGATTGACTGAGAATGGCACGTTCCAGATATCAGTTTTTAGTGACTTGCATTTTGCTGAAGGTACGGTGACAGGTTCGAACCATTATTTTTGGCATACTAATTATATTCAAAGATGACGAGGCGGACAGCAAGACCATAGGCGTGATGAACAGTGTTCTTTCTTCAGAGGAAGTGCAGCTCGTGGTACTCAATGGAGATTTAATCTCTGGCGAGGCAACAACACAACGCTCCAACTCTAGTCTCTACGTTGATCGGGTTGTTGCACCACTAGTCGACCGTAGTTTACCATGGGCATCGACTTATGGGAATCATGACAGCGAAATTAATCTGGACCCCGAAGAGATCTTTTATGAAGAGACAAAATATGAAAACAGCTTAACCCAAAGAAGGGTTTTGGGCTCTACTGCCGGCATCACAAACTATTACCTGCCAATATTCCCGCATGAGGCTTCGAATGACAGTGCCCCTGTATTTCTCTTGTGGTTCTTTGATAGTCAAGGTGGTCATTATGCCTTGGCAGAGGACGAAGATCGCAAGTCAGTCGCAAGACAGAGTTGGGTAGATGACAAGGTAAGCACCACGGCGTTGATGAAATCTCGGGATGGACTCGCGCATCTTCTCATCCTTGACCCAGGGATCTGCTGTTGAATATTTTCACATACTGACTTGTTACAGGTTATTGATTGGTTTGTAGAAGCCAATGCAAACTTAACATCCACCTACGGGCAAACGATCCCATCTCTAGCCTTCGTCCATATCCCAGCCCATCCAATGCGCGCATTCCAGCAATCCGGCGTTAGCCCATCCCGCGAACCAGGGATCAACGGAGAACGGGTCCAGGAACAAGGCTATGACAGCGACACCGGCTACATATCTCAAGATTTTCCATTTATAAGCGCTCTGCTGAACACCACGGGGCTGGCGGCGACTTTCAGTGGACACGATCACGACAATGACTGGTATGGACCGCACCACGCTAAATATTCTATCCTTAGTTTCAAGGCAAAGTACAAGATCTCATTTAACTAATATATTTTTCTTTTGATAGGTGCTTCAAATGGGATAGTAAACTTCCTGGCCTCAATGTCACGGGAAATGGTATGAACATGTGCTACGGCCGGCATACGGGATATGGAGGGTATGGTGAATGGGCGCGTGGTGGAAGGCAAATCTTGTTGGATCAGCAGTCGCTTGGGGATGATGTGCAGACTTGGATTCGGATGGAAGATGGGTCAATTTCTGGCGCTGTTCATCTTAATGCGACGTACGGCCAGGATAGATATGGGCTTGAGCAGAGGAGCACCAGTGCGCAAAATGGTGGTATTTCTCTTTCTCCTCCATATTTGAGTGTTATTTATTTGTGGATATGTGTCTTTTCGGGACTTATATCTGGGTTTCATCTGGGTAAATGATTCAGTTTTGTCAATACAAGTGTGCAAGGACTATAAGTCTGTTGAATTGAGCGATTGGTCATGGTTCGCCCTCAGGGAATGTTGGCGGGTAGAACTTGTTAGAGCGACGTAGTCCACCTTACCTTGAAGATGACTGGCAAGGGCTGAAATCATCGACTCGAAGTATAATGCGAGAAAAATCGACATTGTAGCAAAGCTATGAAATTGAGGTAGCTATTGGTGTTGATGTGGAGCCGAATGGCTGTCATTGGATGTTGTGCATTGGGTGTGTTGTACCTGGTGCCTTGGGTATTAAGGGCGAATCATTACTATTTGAAAACGGATGTTTTTCTGTCGTGGGTGCCGTATTCTTATAACTCAAGGACTGCCTGCTGTCACGACAGTTGCAATTTGGTCATTATATTTCCTATACAGGATAGATCGAAATTAGTTTCACCAGTAAACTCACTTGAACTCTTTCCCCAACCCTATTTCGAAACGCGCTAGGCCTTATTTAATTTAGCCTGTTTTTGAATTATCGGAATGTATTGTAATGGCCAATCACGTGATATGTCAGTCCATAATTACATGAAAAACCCATACAGTCATTAGTCAATACCTTCCGCTGCTCTTGTAAGCGATTTTTCTTCACCAGTACGCTTGCTGTAACCGTTTGCAAAATGACGCCAAGGCCACCTGCCCTCATATTTTGAGATAATTCTTGATGTGCCTTCGAGTAAATTGTTACATGTAACTACGTGGCGAGATATATAACCAAGCTTGCAGCGTTCTCAAACAATGACTATTGCGTACGCGATCACAACCGAGAGACCATCAGCCGCTTCATGCACTCTACAGCTGACAAGTCAGCTACGTCGACAAGACGGCGCTAAACCACAACCCCTCTTTTCTTCTCTTTCAGATACCAGGAAGGCTGTCATCCGACGATAAAAATTCACCTCGCATACCAGCGCTGCTCCGTCTCCACAATACTCACCAAAAGGCTCCTTTCACTTCAAAACCGACCTTTGACGATTCTTTAAGGATGAACAAACTAGATCCAACTTTGTACAGAATTGCCTGGATTGCCCCGCTTCTGATAGAGGCTCGAGCAGCTATATGCTCATTTGACAAATTACATGAGGGTCAGTTTCCTTTAGATCGTGGTGACGATCATGTGTATATCGCTGGTGAAATTGGTGGGCACCATGCCATCATTGCTACCCTACCCACGGGTCAAGAATATGGTAATGGGTCAGCGGCTGCGCTTGCCAGTCAAATAAAGAAGTTCTTTCCAAATTTGTGGTTTGGACTTCTTGTTGGAGTTGCGGCGGGGCTCCCAAATCTGTCAATATTCCCACCTCGCGATATCCGATTGGGTGATGTTCTCGTGGGGCTTCCTGAAGGTGACCACGCTGGTCTGATTGCCTACGACCTAGGTAGAGAAACAGACAATGAAGGATTGAAACTTCTGCAAGATGGTCATGTGCTAGCTCCAACCGAGCCTGTTATCCGATCCGCGATTGGCAAAATCAGACTCTTTGCTCCAGATGGTATCGCTACCTTCTTGCAACATTATGAAGCTATTCGGCAAAAGAAACATGAAGCTGGCGACTTTAACGACCCAGGACAGGACAAGGACCATTTCTACCAAACAGATGCTGATGGTTTCGAACATCTGGTCACAAGAGACGTGCGACCCTCCTCTGCGCGCACCCGTGTATGGTATGGAGCTATAGGGTCAGGGGAGAAGGTTATGAAGAACGCGAAAAAGCGGAACGAGCTGAGAGACAAACACAACATCATTGGTTTGGAAATGGAAGCCGCAGGTACAATGAATCGGATTCCAGTCGGGGTAATTAGAGGAGTCTGCGACTACGGAGATAGACATAAAGCGAAAGAATGGCAACCATATGCGGCGGCAATCGCGGCTGCATACGCAAAAGCAATACTATACGAGATCGGATCAAAACCAAATGAGAGGGAATCAGTTATGCTCCAACAGGGTCAGTTTGATTTCCCCTCATCGCTTCATTGATCGATTATCGGATTAAGTGCCTCGCATTATTGATGTAATCTGACCAATATTATTACAGTCAAACGGAAACGAAGTACGTCAGATAGCGACTCAGACGAATACAGCAGGAAAATTCCTCGACGGAATAACCACAGACCATCTTTGCACTCTGACGACAATAGTGAGGAGTCTTATTCTGATGAGCTGCACTTTCCCTATGGAAAACCTAGCCACGAGAGCCCCAGTGACACTTCGGAGACTTTTGCGGATATCGAAATCGCCGAGGTCCTTCACATTTCTTCCAATGGCATCACAGATAGAAGTATCTCGAGTGAAGAGTTGTCTTCCTCGGGATCGGAAGAAAGTTTCAGTGTGAAGCATGGGCCCCAATTTGAATCCGATAGTTCCGCTAGCGATCAGAATTCGGACTCTTCCGATCACGCAGAATGAGGTTCATGCTTATGCGCTTGACTTCACCCACGGTCTTGCGGCTTGCTTAGCATGAACCAAATTCTGCTCTATGTCCTCCACTACGATCTGAATGTTCGAAGAGATATTTCAGTCGACCAATTTCAAGTTTTTTTTTTTTGCTGGCTATTCCTATAGTTTATTTTGTCTTATTTTACCACATGTAGGAAGTCCATAGGATCAATATAAGTCTAGCACTGCGGGAAAGAGCATGTATTTGCCACCTGTGCAGTGATTAGTGAAAGACAATCCTTAGACGAGGTGCATTGTAGAATTTTTTCACATTGATCACACGCCGGTGGGATTTCAATTCACGCCATATCTCAAAACAAATCAACGACCATCTTAAATGGATGATCTGGATACTATAGAAACCATACACATCTAATACAGAAGCTATTTTTTTCGCTTTTATTTACAACTGTATTGTATTACTGCCAAGAAAGGAGTCCCCTCACATGAACCTGTAAGTTGTGGTAGCTTACCCTCCCACAAGGATTCCCAACTTGCCATCAAAATCCAGTCACGATTCTTTGGCGAACATCAGGAGACAACACGGGGTATACAAGAAGTATAGTCTGGACCTTCAAACCCATACGAAACCCCTGATTCTTTCTCAGTGGGGATGAAACACAGCCCTTTTGATCGTCAAAGAAAACCGAATTTCCCGCCTCTGACGTCAGAGACCCCTGGACCCACCTTTCTGCCTCAGGCCCATTATGACTTTACCAAATGTGGTCATCCGAAAACGGACATTTCAAGGTTTGAAGAGATTGAGATTAAATGGGGTGGGAATACTGGAAAAGAACAGAAATATCTAGGATGTAGGTTAGTACACTAATTACTTGATATAATAGCTAGGGACTGTATAAATAGATGTGGAAATATTACATCCCACGTACATAAACCATTGAATATAAAACCAAGAGGGTCCAGGTTCCTTGGTTGGATCTGTCGAATAGCTTGTCTGGCCCTCTTTACACGCGTTATATGTCTTGGCAGATGCGTGGTGACCGAGAGAGTGGGGAATTAAATGAGCCCTAACCTATCCGAAAACAAAAGATCCTATATTATTCGACATCATCTGTTGCTGATCTGTTGCTGATCTGTCGCTTTCACTCAGTTCAAATAAAAATACGACAATTTGATCTACCAATAACGAGCCCACTCAACCTGAACTGTTTAACTTTTGTACGCACACAAACGACATCGGCTCACACTCGGCTCGGTGGCGAACGACATGATAGATCTACTGGTTGATCGTCGGTCATCTCTTTGCGAAACCAACCAGCAAAAGCTTGCAATTTGTCTCAACTCCACAGAAAAGTGGATAATGCCCTGAAAACTATTAATATGGAACTTTTGGGATTGGGGGTCTTCTGCCCATGCATCATTGCGCCGCATCCCCAACCCCCAAACTCCCTTTGACAAGCAAGGTCTCGGCCAATTTCCACCTCGAATCACGAGCGCTTTTTTTTTTTTTACTTTGAGATCGATACCATCTATGATTGATTTAAGCCGAAATGCACTTGTCCGGAACATGGTCTATACTTAATGGCCTCATCGCAACACTCCTCTTTTCAACGTTAACGCCTGCGATCGAATTGGACATCAGCGATGAACGTACGTCATGGATACTCGCATTTATTTTCCGATACAAGGTGGCAGAGGACTGACTTTGCGATCACTGGATAGAATCAATCAAAGATGCCGCAAGTACGAGTGCTTACTCCATGATGGGATGGTATGCCGGCAATGAAACTGGACAAATCCCTGGCTCCTTCCCTGAAAAATGGTGGGAGGGATCTGCTCTTTTCCTTGCGCTGCTTCAATACTGGCATTTCACGGGTGACACGACCTATAACTCTTTGGTGAGCCAAGGAATGGAGTGGCAGTCAGGCGATAAGGGTGACTACATGCCCAGCAATTACAGCAGCTACCTGGTGAGAACCATACAGCGATTCCAAAATACTTGGAAGAATATTGTTCTGACTATTCTCGAATCTCTAGGGAAATGATGACCAAATGTTCTGGGGTCTCGCAGCCATGTTGGCCGCCGAGCTGAAATTCCCTGACGTCCCGGACCAATTCTCGTGGCTTTCGCTCGCACAGGGTGTATTTAACACCCAGACCGCTCGATGGGATACAACGACATGTGGTGGTGGTCTGCGTTGGCAGCTCTTCCCTTACCAGGACGGATACACCATGAAGAACTCCGTATCAAACGGCGGTCTGTTCCAACTCTCTGCACGCCTCGCCCGCTACACGAATGAGGAAAAGTACACCAAATGGGCCGAGAAGATCTGGGACTGGTCTGTTTCCTCACCGCTAGTGAACAACAAGACTTGGAATGTTGCCGACTCAACACAAATGGCAAATGACTGCGCCGACGCTGGTAACTACCAGTGGACCTACAACTACGGCACATACCTGATGGGTGCTGCCTACATGTATAACTTTGTGAGTTGGACCTCGATATTCGCCATTGAGCCATTCTGCATGGTCAACCCTTCTATTTGCAGACACTGACACTCAATCTGTACAGACAAATGGAGACGAAAAGTGGAAGACCCCAGTAGATGGCCTCCTGGGAAAAATCTTAAAATCCTTTTTCCCGAACGGCGACGTCTTCGAAGACGTAACCTGTGAGCCTATCAAAAAGTGCAATTTCAACGAAATCCTCTTCAAGGGCCTCACCTCATCATGGCTTGGATTCACCGCACTCCTGGTCCCCGATACCGCAGCGCAGATCAAGCCCAAACTTGCAAGTTCCGCAGAAGCCGCCGCGAAGTCCTGCACGGGAAACAATAACAACTCATGCGGTATCACGTGGTATCAAAACAAGTGGGACGGATCGACCGGCATGGAGCAGGAGATCAGCGCAACAAATATTTTCCTTGCAAATATGATCAACTTTAACACCGGCACATTTGGACCTGTTACCTCCAAGACTGGTGGAAACAGCAGCAGTGATCCCAATGCGGGTGAAGGAAAAGGTGGGGATAACGACAAAGAGAAGCCTATTACGACTGGGGATAAGGCCGGTGCCAGTATTTTGACCTTGATCTTTGTCTTTGGTTGGGCTGGTACCATGGCTTGGATGATGCTGGGTGGTTAATCTGGCGGTACATTTTATGTTTCTTTTATTGGCATTGGTTTTAGAGGGATCGGAGTTCTGAGGACTCAATAATGTTTGTACATACTATCTCGAAATCATATTTACTTACGGCGAAATAGGATACCCAGTATTTTTCCAAGTACTCTAGCAAAGTTAGGATCTTATCCCTAAATGCAGGCTCATGTACTTGAATGCACCATAGGGCGAATCCTTAATAAAATGTAAAGAATAAATGTCTTTTCCATTGAATCAGAAGTGTGCTGCATCCGTACTAAGAAAGAAACTTGTCAATTTCACCTGCCAATCCCCAGCTAATTTTGTACCCATTTGCTCCAGCACCGTAACAAGAAACCAGGGGAAGAGTGTTATTAGCACGGTCGACTAAGTGCCCTGTGACAAAATGGAGTCCACCACGTCTCATTGGGCGCCGAGCAACGTACACTTGCTTTATAACAAACCCATTCGTCGAAGGCAGCCCATCCGCCTGTTCGTAAACCATCTCAGGACAGAGATCTCTCACCCTCCTTAAAATGGCCTCGGTTGAAGCATCATCGATATCCTCAGACCTGACGAGCATTATTGCCACTCCAACCTAGGAAAATAAATGAACTCAAAAAGCATACCAGTTATTAGGCTCCTTCGTCCCACCAATGACAGTCCCACCACCCAGAGGTCGGGGTATAATGACCGTAGAGGAACCATCACTCCAATGATGACTGATAGTTCTATCACAGTAATTCGAGACGATAATGAACTGACCCCGCGAGGGGAAGGAGGCGGGATCATCAAATCCCCTCCCACTTGCATCGACAACAGCCGAAACACGATCGCTCTCGTCCTGGGATTTCTCCTTCCGATAGACAGACAAGCACTGTTCTAGGTTCGTCAAATGGGCTCGAATGAACCGAGTGCCTTGCGCCTCAGCCCGCGTCTGTAACCACCTTAAATAAACCGGCGAGTTCAGAACCCAGCTGCGGTAGGTAACGGCTAACTGGATAGACGGATGTTGAGGGGGGTATTCTGCAGGGTGGAGAATACGAAAGTCCGGCCATGTCGTGTAGCCATTTGCTTCTGCTAGGAACGAGGTCGGGTCGGCCGAGTCGAAATATTCGACCGCAGGAATAAAATCCACGCCGGCCTCCGGGTGATGTTTGGCGATCTCCTCGAATTCTTGGTAGGTTTGTCGCATCCAGTTCTGTTCTATATGTTCGTCTTCTGTTTTTGCGGGGGTGGGGCGAAAATGTGCCCCTGCCCATGGGGAGGCGTAGTCAATGCCAACGTCTCCCGGTAACTCTCTCGCGATGACGGTGACTTTCGAGTATTTGGATAGTTTGACTGCGATGCTGAGACCGATGACGCCGGCTCTGTTGACTTACTGTTAATAGATGGAAAAAAAAAGAAGAGGGAAAGAAAAGAGTAGACGTCAAGTGGCCCTCACCCGACGATGATAACATGGCCTTGGCTCATGTTGATTGTTCTTTGTTTTCAGTCCCAAGTTATAATGTTTGTTCAATGAATGAATCTATAATTGCTCGATTGTCTAGGTTCAAAAATGTTGAGCGTCAAGTGAGTCATCGTCATCTATAAATTCTTCCGATACGGAAAAATCACACCGAACAGTCATATTGGGGAATTGCGGCTGTTCCTAATCAAAGGGGAGAGATGAAATGGCAATTGATTGGATGGTAAACTAACTCCATATATGTTGTACTATGTGCCTGGGCATTGTTGTAGAAGGCATAGGGATTTTATTATGGACCGTGTAATGGTGACTTTGGGCCAGGAGCTGTGCGGCATAGTTCAAAAAGTAAATATAGAATGCGAGAAAGTAGTTTACAATGACGTCTCTCAAAGATGACCATTGCAGTATATTCAGCCTGTAACTTCTCTGCTTCACGCGTCAAGCGCGACGCGAAAGCGGTGTGGGGCTCAATGGATTCGCCATTTAACCTCAATCTCACCTCTTCGCACCACAGCTCTCACGTCCAGATATGGTCGCACTCGCAGGTACAGCCAGGCAGCCTGATGCTGTACAGGAGCAAAGTGACCATGTAGATGAGACTACAGCTCTCCTAGGGTCCAGCAAGATCAAGTATGATGACGTGTCCGCACCAGACACTTTGGGCAGTTCATCAGGGTCAGATGGGGACAATGACGACGAGAAAAAGCCCTTGCCCAAGTTCCAGATCCTGCTGCTCTGCTATGCGCGTGCAGTCGAGCCCTTGGCCTTCTTCTCCATCTTCCCTTATGTCAGCCAGATGGTGCAGGACAACGGAGACGTGCCAGACTCGGACATCGGCTTCTACAGTGGACTCATCGAGTCAATGTTCTCCCTCACGCAGGCCGTTGTTATGATATTATGGGGTCGAGCAGCCGATCGTCTCGGCCGTAAGCCCGTCCTGGTCTCCTCCTTGTTCGGTGTTACTGTGACGACAGGCGTCTTCGGCCTGGCAAAGACCATACCGCAAATGATCTTGTTTAGGTGTCTTGCTGGCGTCTTTGCTGGGACCATTGTTACCATCCGCACGATGGTGGCCGAGCACAGCACACCCAGTACCCAGGCCCGGGCGTTCAGCTGGTTCGCCTTCAGCGGGAACTTGGGCCTTTTCCTCGGTCCTTTATTGGGCGGTGCACTTTCTGACCCCGTACGACAGTACCCTGGTGTTTTCGGGTCTGCCGGCTTCTTCGAGAAATATCCCTATGCGCTCTCGAGCTTGGTGGTGGCGTTGATCGGAGGCACCGCTGCCGTGTCTAGTGCCTTCTTTGTTGAAGAGACGTTGAAGAAGGAGCCAGTTGTGGTGGACCGTGATAGTGAGGAGGCGGCATCCGGTGCGCCGGTCCAGAGCGGCGACCTATCGACATGGCAACTTCTCAAATCACCAGGGGTTGGTGTGGTCCTATACGCGTATGGGTATCTCATGGTCCTCGCCTTCGCTTACACCGCCATTATTCCCGTCTTTTGGTTCACTCCCGTACGTCTCGGAGGGTATGGCTTTTCAACTCTACAAATTTCATTGATGATGGGTCTAAATGGCGCCGCACAAGCTACATGGCTCATCCTGGTGTTCCCGCCATTACAGAAGAGGATAGGGTCGAACGGAGTGATACGTCTCTGCGCTAATGTCTATCCGTTATTTTTCTTATCCTGCCCTATTGGCAATGTATTTCTGCGGATGGGCACGGACGGATCAGTCAAGGCCTTTTGGGTTGTCTTGCCAATCTCGCTGGTGATTGGCTGCGGAGTTAGCATGAGCTTCACGGCGATCCAGCTTGTCCTGAACGACGTCGCGCCCTCGCCGAAGGTACTGGGCACGCTGAATGCGCTGGCTATGACTGGTATGAGCGGGCTGAGAGCCTTCTCCCCCGCTCTCTTCACCAGCCTTTTCGCTTTGGGTGCGAGGACACAGCTGGCTGGAGGCCATGCCATCTGGATGCTCATGATCATACTTGCTTTTGGCCTATCGTTTATAGCAAAATATCTGCCAGAGCCCAAGGCTGCTGTAAAGCGTCGGAGCAGCCAAGCAAGGTGATGATTTTCCGAACGGCTGAATTCACAGCACGATCAAGACTGGCCCAGGGGACTTGTTGGAGGAGGGCCGCTTCATTGGTATGGGATCTCTAAAATTTGCAATTCTATCCGAAATTTGGTTCTTATGGTAAGTTTAACTGCTGTACATTACATGAACCTATGTCAATAAGAAGTGGACAAGATCATATTTGAGTGAAGATAGATTCTTTATAGCTGAGTACATTTTCAGGGTTGAATATCATTTCTGCATCATATCACTCACTCATCGATATGCCTAGCTGTTTAGGACTTTTTTTGTTACACTAGTTATTTCTCGGTTTATAGGTTTGTATAAGAGGTGCAAGGAGTAAACGCCTTTGTCCGCGGCTTTATGCCTGTTTCTTCATATCCGAATTTGTTCATTCATCGAGAATCATTCCACCCCCACCTTCCCATGAAAACACAGCAAGCAGCAAGAAGAGGTGAGAACAAAGGTTCAACAAGAGAATGTATATCTCGTATCTCGTTATTGGTGATTTGCATTACATGTCTTTCCAGAGCTAGGATTATTTATAAGGATACTAAATGCTCCAGCATATAAACCACTAGAAAAATAGATCACGCCAATATAACACCCCATTTGATCCAAGTTTGCAGTTTCATCCGCTGCAACTCTAGCCGTTGTTCTTTAGTAAGGGCAACTGGTCCCAATCCTCGTCTTTCCCTAGATTCTATTGTCTCACATAAAACCGGCCTCCCATCCTCATGTACAAAGGCAAAGGAGCGAACCTCAGCATTAGCCCAATCCGTTACTTTACAGTATAGATTAGCACGAGACGGCGGAATGTGAGAAGCTAATAACGCACCATGTAAATTGTCGGCATTCACCCAGTCATCTGTAAGAAAATGCAGAAAACAGCCATGCGAAACCACCACGATCTCCTTTTCAGGTCGCTGGCTCAGCCACTGCCGTGCCAGTTGAGCTCTCTCTAAAAGCCTGCCCGCGGCTGGAGCCCATTTGCCTTGCTATATATATGTAGCTTGCTTAGTCTTACATGAATCAAGCAGATTAGACACGAAAAACATACCTTAATGTGCCAGCCAGGCTCTACGAGAGTAAAATCTACCGGCAGTTTCTCAAACTCGGCCTTAATATCAAGCAGGTCACTACCAGTGTCACAGTTGAGATCGCTTGCTTCCTGCACCTCTGGCCAGGCGATAACCTGTAGGCCGGCCCCCACCTGCGAGGAGAACGCCAGCAGTGCGGTCTGAATGGTGCGCCGCAGTGGCGATGACAGAATCAGTTGAATATTTTCCAACGCAGGGAACCCAACACCCAAGGCACGGGCTTGCTCTTCTCCCAAGGGGGTCAGTTCGGGGTCGAGTAAATGGTGGTTTGCATGGCTGAGATTGTGGACGCCTTGAGCGTGGCGCACAAAGTGAACTATTGGCGACATATCTCGATGAACCACCCGGATAGATTTCACTCACTTAGCATAGAAAGGTGATTGGACTTCAGTTAAGTATTGCGTGGAAGAAAAATCAGGCAATGACAGGGGTCTCCCTCGTGTCGAGATTAGTGGTTCTCTGCGCCCCAAAGCGGGGTTTCGTTGGTGAGTTGGAGCGGCCTTGGGCAGTCGCCCGAGTCTTCAATTCGCGACTGTATATATGGACCTGTCACTGTCCGAGCCGGTGAAGAAGACCTCACGTGAAATGAAACAGCTCTGCGTCCGTATCGATGTACTAGTGAACAACCCTAGTGTGATATGGTCCTCCGTCACTGCCTGACCGAGGAAGACGAAGATTCATCTGGCGGTCAATTACATTGGTCGCTCACTCGACTCCCATTAACCCACGTGATGCCAAGTTCAGCGACGGTGAATGGAAAGCTTTGTGCAGGTATTTCTTCTAGGTGCTTGGTTGTCATTCGTGCGAGGCTGGCCCGGAGGGTCGGCCCTAGCTGCTCGCCCAGGTGTATCGTATATAAGAGTCTAACTATTATCTTGTTTCTAGCGTACTTAATAATTATTGCCAAGTTTGGTAGGAACATTGGAAGTAATTAACAATTTCATTCACATCAATATATCTTCCTATATTTTCCATAACTAATTTGGAAGTTAATAAAATTGAGGCTATGACTACATTGTGTTCATGTACCTTTTGTACTAAGTTGCCATACAAAAGATACCTAACCCTAGTGGTGTTGGTTGGCTTGGCATGATTATTTTACGTCTCGTCTCAGTTTGAATATCACGATCACTCTGATTTGCGTTTTTGGACCCCGGTACGGCAGACTCTAGTAAGTTTTCCGAAGATTCAAATCGGTTAGAGTGATCCAGAAGGTGTTCAATATTGCTATTCGATGCTATCGCCTCGATGATGAATCTGAAAAGGAACTGGTTGACAGATAGTCTCATCCCATCGCCTGAAAACCCATCGAACTACCCATTTATGTTGCTGTATGTCTTCTTTCTGCGAATCCACCCATTTTGCTGCGCCATGTCTCCCGGAAACCTCGATGGTTTCTTGGCATCGAGGACCTTGAGAGGGTAGGGCTGGGCAAGGCTTGGCAGTTACTCACATAAGGGTCTACTGAGGTGCTAGATTTTCCCTCCAATTGCTTTTTTCAATTCTCCAATTCCGACAACATGCTGCGTGAGGCATTCTTCATATTCATATGCGTGGCATGGGCGGGATTTGCCATCCATCTCTCCCCGTGGATTAAGGTCAGATCAATATCCTGAAACTGATACTATCCACTTAGGACTAATATCTTACAGGATATTACCTATAAAGTTGAACCTTACAAACATACTGCATCTCAATACTCAGTGCCATTGTCTACACAGAATGAAGAACACACACGTCTACTGCAGAAACTTGAGCGATCCAGTGGGAAATGGGACACTACCCACCCTCGACATCGATTGTTAACTGCCCTGCATGGATATACCCGCTACAAAGATAAAAACCTAGCTGAGGTAGATCGATGGAGAAATCTTTACAAAAATGTCCCCAAGCGGCAGCGAACGGTATGATATGTCTTTCGTTCTATTCTTTTGGCGGATGCCTAAGTGTTAAGCAGGTTCGACTGACCGGTGTAGATGCTCGAATCAACCGTCCACTACACGCGTAAACTAAACACAATGGAACATCTGCTGGACACAAACAACGGACTCGCCAGATCTATTGTCGATCATGGTCTTTGGTTCTACAATATCACTCAATCTGAGTTGGACGAATTTATCAAAGAAAACGAGAATCAGCAGCGGTCCGCCGATAAGACTAGCGTCTCTCAGGGAATGAAGCATTTTGTGCGTGACTGGGCAGATGGGGGCCATGAAGAACGAGAACAATCCTTTGAATGGATTTTGAAATCGATCTCCGAGACGCCACGGACAAAAGATAGACCCTTGCGAGTGCTGTTGCCTGGGTCTGGATTGGGAAGACTGGCGCATGAGATTGACAAGCTTGGAGGTGAGTGCATAATTTCCTACCTGGAAACTTTTATTTGCTGATTAGAGATTAGGCTTCGAGGTCATTATGAATGAATGGTCCATGTACATGAATCTGGCATACCGCTATGTATCCAGTCTCTCCGTCCCCAACAGTGTATCATTTCACCCATACATCGACTGGTGGTCTCACCAGCCCACGACCGATGACCTCCAGCGCTCGGTCACGTTTCCAAACGAAGTCGTTCACCTATCATCTGTCTTGCTCATAGAGGGAGATTTCACTACGGTATTTGCAGAACACACGGGTCAATACGATATACTCGTGACCTTGTTTTTCATCGATACCGCGCGGAACCTAGTCACATATCTTGAGACTATCCACAGACTACTTCGTCCTGGTGGCCGTTGGGTGAACCTAGGACCTTTATTATATGGCACCGCACCTTTTGTCCAGTTGTCGCTGGACGAGATTGTGACGTTAAGTGAGAGCATGGGGTTCGATTTCCAGGAGACAGATCCCACGATTGGAAATATCACATTGCCTGACTTGCCAGTCCGAGGGTTGGAGGTGGTATATGGGCGGAATGAGCGTGGGTTGAATAAGAATGCATATCAGGCGCAATATTGGGAGGCTGTTAAGCGGTAGAATTGGAACGAACTCCATTGCATGTTCTACTATCTTCTATTAAGACTAAAGGAAAGTAGCTGGTTATTGCTATCTGAATTCAACTTGGTGGTCCAAGAACTGGAGATATGAGACGGGATACGGCTGCAAGTCACCTGCGTCTTTGCTGGGACAACACGATATCTCGTATAATACCCACCTAATTTAACTGCCGAATGGGAATTTCTTTCCCAGGGTCAATACAGTGGCGCTCGTTTTACCCTAGCTCGCATTGACTAGCTAGCGCAGTCAGCCTCTCGGGCACATGTTTCCACCGATTCTGGGGCCGTAGCCCAACAACATCGACTGATATTAGAGGATAGCTACATTAAGCAAATATACTAACAAACCGAGAAGGGTTAGTTATTCTCCTGAGTTCTAAATTAACACAAAGAAGGTATTGTATAGCTCCTGATCAGCAGGGACTGTCTGGTCTGACCTACGAATGGTCCAATCCAAGATAGCCAAGATATCTCGGGGGAAAGCATGGCGCTCATTAATAAAAATTCTCACCCACAGACACGGCCATCTAGCCAAAGACCAATAGTCTTCCCAATACAATGAGACAGCCCCCGCCGGCGCCAAGGCTCATTGAGAACCTTTGGGGCACCAAGACTTCCTCTTTTCTTGGCATCGCAAACCCTACTAGCTCAGCGGAACGGCAGGTATAAAGGGTCCGGACCCTGTGCAGCAAATCCCTGATTTGAAAATATCTGTCGTCGTGATTATACTGCACACAGCGCTCAAACCACCTTGCCAAAATGAGATTATCCATCTTTTTCATCGCACTGATGACTTCGGTCTCATCCGCAGTCTCAACTGAGGATCCAGGTCCATCTCCTACTGCTTCAATCGGTTGTGAGCCACACGGAGACCATTGGTTCGTTCTATCCGGTCGTATACTCTCGGATATGTTCACTAACACTTCTATACAGGCACTGTGACGGCCCGGCCTCATCAGCTGTCTCAGGTACATCAACCACAAGCGAGGTCGAAGTGAGCACCACAGCGGACGCTTCTCCTACAATCCCTAGTCCTACCGAATCTACTGGTTGCGAGCCACATGGCGACCACTGGCACTGTGATGGCCCAGCCTCAACATCTGTCTCGGGTACATCAACAGCAAGCAAGGCCGAAGTGAGCACCACCTCTGCGGATGCTTCTCCTGCAGCCCCTAGTCCTACCGAGTCTACTGGTTGTGAGCCGCATGGTGACCACTGGCACTGCGATGGACCGGCCGAGACGGGTAGTGCTTCCGCGAGTGCGTCCACGAGTTCTTCCGCAAGTGCTTCCGCAAGTGCTTCCACAAGTGCCTCCGCGGGTGCCTCTACAAGTTCTGGTGGTAATGAAGGCGGTGCTAGAGCAATTGGAGTGCAAGTCTCCTTGCTTGTTGGGTTATCACTTGTCGCTGCTGGTTTGAATGTTTGATTGGGATATGAGACTGTCTGTATGCGTGTGTATATGTGTGTGCGTGTGTGTGTGTTGCTATATCAAGTTGAATGTTCCATAGTTATCTACCCCTGGACTGTATTGTTTCATTCTAATTCAGGAAGATAATCTGATTCAGTCTTGTGATAGGGCGTCCTGCACATTAAGTTGCCCGCAATAGCTAGACATGATTGCACTGTAGCGAAAAGCTATTGGGTGTATTGGGCGAACTCTAGAATGAGTCTAAGCATCAGATCAGAACGAACAAAAAGCCAGTGAAAGATCTCGACAGAGGAAGTTCGATGATTCTTTTTTTTGCTACGTAGAATATTGAGTACAGAACGAGTGTGGGAAGATCCAGGATGGGTATGTATAGCCAGTTCGAGGGAGATGTAAACAAGACGGAAAAAGGAGAGGTGCAACTGGATTCCCTGTCCAACATGAAGAGAAGGATAAGGACAATAAGAACAAGAAAAAGGACAAGAGGAACGGAATGGACTTAACCTCCGTAATGTTCCAACCCTAAATCCTATCCTAATCCAGTGATCCAGAAAATCGGAATTTGAACGTTGGTTTGGTAGGCTTGTAAAGAAAAAAAACGAGAGCTTCGTGAGTAGTGGGTTACATTGAACAAAGAACACCAAGAATCCAGAACAGGAGAGGGAATAAATCCTGCATTGCACGCTGCTGCAAGAGGGGAAGAGGAAGAGAGATCCAGGTACAGTAGAGGCAGAGTAGAGGTAATAGCAACAGACTCTCTATTCCTGTCCAAAGCCAAGCGTTTCCTCCACCGCGATAGACATTTTGTGCTCGAGGGCATCGTGCGTCTTATAAGGGGGGAGATCAAGACGGTTGAAGCTGTGTTACGAAAAAGGTTAGCTATGATACACCAGATACAAGAACCAGCATTGGATACGTACCAAGTGTGCGACTTGGGCAGCGCAGCAGGATCACCAGACTTCTCAATGGTAAACCGTCTGGGACCATCGGATCCCTGCAAATCCTTGAATCCGTTGACAGGGATACGCGAGGTACCAGTAGTAAACTGGAGAAGACGGGACTTCTGCTCCGCATCCCAGGTGCGGACGATCTTCCAGAAATTCTGAATAACCTCGTCCTGCTCCTGGTAACCGCGGTAATCGGTGTGCTTCTTCCAGTCTTCGACATCGATATCGGCGATACCACCAATTAGCAACTCGAGCTCACGCTCGTCGAAGACGTTAACAAGATCGGGGGGGATAAGCTCGTTGAAGCCAGACATGAAGGCATCGAACTGCTCCTCGACACGCTTCATGATCTTCCATTCCGTAACCAACCTGCAATTTGGTTAGCGGGGTTTCATCAGGCTGGAGGCTGGGTTGGTTCCACTCACTCAATGTACTGTGGCTTGTTCTCATTGGTGACGGGAATATCCCGGCCACCGGGTATCAAATCAATAGTGCGACGCTCGCCAAACTTCTCATCGTCAACCGAAAATGTGAGTTCCACAATTCCGTCAATGTCATTATCCCTGCCATAGCGTTAGTATGGTTATTCAACCAAGATTGCATGTATCTAACTTACAGTGTCCATGCCAAATTGCGGTGCAAATCCTCATCCACGCCTTCCATATCTTGAAGACTGACCTTCTTCCGCAACATCATCTTGTAGAAAGCTCCAATGAAGAAGGAATCCAGGAAGCGACGGTGGAAGATAGCCAGACCAACCACTCGGCCAATGAACTTGAAGTAATTGAGATGCTCGGGGTTCACGCCCGAGTGGGGATTAATCTGCAAGGTATAATTATCGTGGGCAGAGTATTCGAAGAGACAGTAGAAAGGATTGAACATTTCGTGAGAGAGAAGGAAGAAGAATTCACTGAGAGAGTTAGCAACTTTTCGCTTATACCAGAAAGAAAAAAAAGAATAGAACATACCGTGAAAGACCACCGTAGTCAAGACCATCTTCGCCATCGAACTTGATCATTAGGCGCTTCTTAAGATCGGATGCACTCTGGCGCATAATCTCGGCATATGAATCCTCGAAGATATTATTACGACGGACTTTAACGTGGCACTGTCCGGACATAATGCGCAACGCGGGTTGGGACCGGAAGTAGATCAGCTTGCGGCGGAAGTCACGCTTATACTGGGGTACGCCCTGATCCAAAGAGGAGGGTAGTCGCGGATCATCCCAGGTAGTCGTCTTGGTGTTGTGGTCAACGAAATATACTCGAGCAGTGTTGGTAAGACGCATCTCCCAGCCGCTGGGGAGAGGACCCAATTGGGATACGGGCTGCTGTTGGATGGTGGTGTTGTTCGCACCCCCCGTGGTCTGTCCCTGGCCATACATGCGGATATACTGCTGCCGACGAGGATCGACCCATGTCGTTGTGCGTGTGTTGTGGTCCACGAAGTAGGGTCGTCCCTCGGGCGTCACTCGTCGTTCCCAGCCTGGTGGAAGCTCCCCTGTGCCTGCAGTGGTGGCTCCCGTCGCCATCATAGAGATCGCGGCGGCATTGGACCCAGCTGGGGCTCCAGTTGCGAGAGAGGTTCCTGCGTTAGGCCCGGGCGGTGGTGTAGGTATCTGCTGGGCATCTGGCAGGTTGGGTGAGTTGGCACCGGTTCGATCTTCGGGAAGCATTCGGCTCTGGTGGGCCCGACGCTCGAGCTGCATGTTGGCTTCGCGCTGCGAACGTTGGGCATGCTCGTTGTAGTTGGCCGATGGTCGTGACCATGTCGTGGTGCGCGTGTTATGGTCCACATAATATGTCCGTCCCAAGTTGTCTTCGCGTCGTTCGTATCCGGCAGGGAGTCGACCCTGACTGTCCTCAAAGGAGCTGAGATTGGCACGAGAGGGGGCGCCGGGTCCAGGGGGGTTGGTGGGGGCGCCATTCAACGGGGGAGGAGCACCGGCCGGGGGACCGGTGGTCGGAGTGCGCTGGGCCAATGACGAACTTGATGCTGCAGCAGGGGACGTATCGAGAGTGCTCGGCCCAGCTTGTGATTGGGGTGTTGGTGCTGCAACCTGGGGCACAAGACCGTTGGAAGTCGAGGTCTGGGCCTGTTGACGTTGGAGTCCATTCTGGTTCGGATGCGGGGTGGTTAGGTTTGAGGATAGGTTGATGATCAATTTTCCGTGGACCACGAGGTTATCATTCGATTTTTTCAGATCCCGAGTAAGCATTTCTGTGGGGGGCACATGGCCATCAGGTCAGTCCACGTTTCTATGACTCGCGATCGGCGGTATTCGGACGTACCATCACCACCCATCGACAAGTCAATGACATCGCCGATGCGAACATTGATGACTCCGAGGAAACCCTGATCCTTCTTCTTGAATTTCTTCTGGTCAAAGATCTGGATCGCAAGAATGCTGTCCTCATTGACTCTCCTGTAAAGATCCATGGTTAATGAGGTTCACCCCTTTTCCAGCCAGTGGCGGGGTATCACGTACAAATCGAATGGCTCATTCCAGTAAGGATTCAGAGTCTTCTTGATCACGGAAGTTGTATGTGTTTGCTCTCCTCCAACAGTAGCCACGGCGAATGGATCGGGGAATCCTAAAAAAGAAATGGTCAGTTCAACCCCGCAGCACTCAATCGACCGATCTGAAGGAAACAACATACGGAAGACATCACGTTTGTACAAGCCGTCAGCCGCGATAACTATATACCCAGAGATGTTAGTCTTGTACGGGTGCGGAACCCCGCAGAAGTCCCACGACGATTCGACAGAATGAGAGTCTTACTCGTGACCCGGAGATTTGGCTGGCTACAATTCATGTCAGCGGATGATCTGAAGATCGGGTCTCGATCGTAATAGAGCCAGAGAAGTCCAACTTACGCTGGAAGGTTTGACGCCATGATGCTTTACAAGCGATCAATCACGCCCAAAGAACAGCGCGGGCGCGCACATTCACGAGGGGGAGAAGGACCAAACCAAGTTCGCCCAGGGTCAAAGCCTGGAAAGAGTGGATAGGTTGGTAATTTGCAGGCTTGGTGATGGTAGGTTGTTGAGAGAGGAGAAGGAAGAGAAAGGGAAGGGTTAGGCGTTAGGTGCGCCCGGGTTTGTATGGCGCAGGTACTCGGACTACGTATTCACTATGTACGGGATACCCGGTCAGTACTTCCTGGGGCTGAGCACGGGAGATTTATAAACGCTGGATTATAATTTCACTCTTATTTTACTCCATTAGATATATAATATCGTACAATCCTAGAAAGCCATTTATTTTATTTTCTTCTTCCTTTTTAAGCATACGTAATAGAGTAAATTCAGCGGGTGTGGGCGGGTAGAGTGGCAACTTCAAGTTTGATATTAATAGGATGGTGAGGAAATATCACAACTATCACAGCTAGTTATTTGAGTATGACCTTTTATTTAGGCAACCAGATTCATATCTATATCCTATGCTCTTTTTGTATATTAAGTATACAAAGTATAGTAATGTACTCTGTATCATATATAATACACAAATCTTCTATATCAGCTAACTGCTAGTACATTAAATACAACACCCCCCAAAAAGCCATAACTAAATCTTATCTCTTATTTTTTTTTTTTTTTTTTTCTAATTCTCTGCCCGGAAATTATTATACAGCACAGTTCCCACAACTCCAAACCCACTAGAGAAAATGAGGAGAGAATCAGGTCCTGAAATCAGACACCCGACCCGGGATTTGTCGAGACATCCTCAAACAACACACTTAGTAGGGCGAGAAACCACGTCCCCGGCCCCGGTAAGGAGCACCGCCACGATATCCACCACCACGAGGGAAGCCACGACCACGGCCGCGGCCAAAGCCACCACGGCCACCACGGCCACGGTGCATACCAGGCAGGTTGGTACGCTTGGGAACAACCTGTTATTTCAACATCAGCGAGTGTAGAGAGAATAGTCTCAGCAATTATAAACCAACCTTCAAGTTGCGACCGCGGAAGACACTCTCGTTCAACACCAGAGCCTGAGCGACCAGGCTGGGTTCCGCAAATTCAACGTAGGCATAACTGCAGCGCATT